TGCATTCGACTACTACCTTCATCACGTGTCATGGCTAATACCTCATCTTGACATACTGAATCAACTGTATCATCTTCAACTACCGCCTACAACTCATGTCATGGCTAATATCTCATATTACCATATTGAATCGCCTGTATCATCTGTCATATTCAGTATCATACATCAGAAACTTTATATCCAGATGAAGCAATTGATTGTAAGTTGTCATCAGTGACTTTGTTACCCATCATTGATGAGTGGAACTTTTTTTTTTGTTAATTAATATACAAATGAATATAGAGATAGGTAATGTACAACTTTAGCTTTCTTCTGATACATGTTTTTGTGTTTGTTTATTAAAAATAACGAAATTATAAGCATTATCGTTAAAAAAAATGTTTAGTGACCTCATTATTCTTTTTTTTTTTACCTTAATTACTTTAGTATTATATAAATTATTAACAGGCTTGTGTAGGGCACAGCATAAGCTTTCATTTGATATATAATAATAAATGGTGAGGTCAAAATTAACGAAACTGTGCGTGTTTTTTGTTGAATTTTACAAAATGTCGTCACACTTTTTCCATTGGGTCCAATGTTAAGCAAAAACGCGTCAAAAAAAATCACAACTTTCTAACCGTTATACATACAGTCATAAGTTTTACATCGATGGACAGTTCTAATCAAGTACTTTAATGATTTACTAAGCAAAATTTTTTTTTTCAAAAAAAAATTTTTTTGTTCACCTCCCTACTATCTATACACAAAATAATTAAAGTAAAAGATCAAAGTCCAAAGTTGTTGAACTCACACTCAGAAACACAGCAAGAGGCTATTGTTAATGCTTCTGTTAATCCAGACCCAGCCACAATCATAAACTAGGAATCCACTTAGATTGGCTTAATGGCTTCAGTGGGATACGTTTCATGTGAAATATGATGGACATAGGTACTCTCTAGAGTTCATACGAGGGAACTGAGTTTGTTTACTTATTAGCTAATCTTAATTAGGGGCTGGACTTCAATCCACAACTCTTCAGGGGTAACTGGACAATCTCAATCATGCGGCTGGACTACAGGCCACACCTCTTCGCGAATGCCTAGTTTGCTTACTTGGAAGTAAATCTCAATTAGTAAGCTGTACTAAAGGTCACACAGCTAAACAAGGAACCTTTTGCTATACAGAGAACAAACCGATTTCATAACCCAGTTAGCCAGTAACTAATTATTTTGTAGAATGGAAAAACACAATGTGCTAAGAAAGCATACTACACTGTAATTAAATATTACGGATGATTTACTTTTCCTAAGATGTTAACTTGAATATTACTCCTGCGTTATTGTCTTGATTTGATAACAATATTCTTAATAATTTGAGATCGCCAAGTAACTCCTCATTATTACTGTTTTTTGTTTTTACTTACGGTGCATACTTAGCCAGCGTGTATCAGACCAGGATGACTTTTTACACACCTGACACCCATAGGCCTACTACGTGCCATTTTATTGCAACATGCAGCAATTAGATCTAGCAAATAAAGAAAAAAATGTGTTGGAGAGTTAAAAACACTTAATCTCTGTAACTAGTGTACGGGTATAATTTATCTACATGCTTGACTGACCATGCCAATGTGCTATCCTGAGCACTCAACACTATTGCTTATGCTGAAGGAAAAAAAAACAAGTGATGGTCAACACATCAACTATACACACTACACAAGTCTACATGTGTAGGCCCACTACCTCTATCTGACCAGGTTGTTTAAATCTGTCAAACACACAGTCTTTTTTTTTGGCGGAGGGGGGGCAGGGAGGGTGTGGATGAGTTTTTTTTTTCTTCTATATTTGGTTTTCCTAATGCTCTAAAATCTATATAGTTAGAGATTCAAACATAGATCTCAATAATAGACCAGACTACAATTTAATCTATGCTCCAGCATCATCTAAGGTTCAAGCTATAAATAGGTATAATTGATGCAAATAAAATATCGTTTACTGCAAATGAATTAATCTTAAACATAAATATTGTCCTAGAACGCTTCAGATTCCAACTATTAACTAACAGCTACTATCAGTATTAAGCCCTTGAAGCCATAACCAGAAGCACGCACTGGACTTAAAATTACAAGCCTGTTGACCAGTTGTTGGTCTGAAATTCATGAACACTAACATTCACCCACTATACAAACCAGATTGCACTTTACCTTTGAGAGATTTACATTAGTAACTAGTTAAATATATATTTACATATTTTACATTGACCATGCCACACACCCCCTTTACAGTTGGTGGACTCGTACATAATACACACTCAAACTACACAGATTAGTTTGTGATAGGCCTATCTGTTTATAAATATACTGTTGAGCTTAAATTCATCAATCATTAACAGAGTTTAAAGCAATATGGTAATTAAAAGGAAAACAATTATTACGAATATAGGCATGTTATTTAGCAGTTTTGCGAAATGCTCAGTAACACAAGCTATTTACTAGACATGTAGGTATTCGGCTCCGGTCGAATATCATATTTACTATCCGGTCATATTCGGCTCCGGTCCAATATCAAAAAGTACTATCCGGTGCACCCCTAGTATCAGCCAAGATCACTTGAGACATTGAAAGATTCTAGTTCGGTGCCGGTAGTCTTGTAGACATGTAGTCAGTAGATCTGCAAAATTTAATTTGAATTAAATATAAATTATTTTAGATCTGATCTATAGACATATATACTCTAGTGTCTCACTATCTAGATCCTAGATAAAGATTTAGATTAGATCTAGACACAGAAGAAAATCATTATATGTAATTAAAATCTCAGACTTTAAGAAAACAAAATTAAATGATAGATTTTGTTACGATCATCAATAGTGCTAGATGTTACAATCAAGCTTGATGTCACGTTGAAGGACAATCAATGATCGTAATTGCAGAGGATCTTGAAATCGTCTTTAATAAGATGATCGTATAGAAGTAGCTAGATCTAGTTGCCAGTTGATAAGAGGATCATCTAGAAATTGCCATTCACTAAGTCTATCTAAGTATGTTACTATATTCAATGAAGAAACTTCTCTTCGTCTAAAACAAATGCTTTAATTCAAAACTTGGAAAAGCTATTCACAAATAATTACAATGGTTAAATGTACTTGAATAGAACAGAATAAATATAATTCTGCTAAATAAATGATCTACACAATAATGTAAAATATACGTCTGAATCTTAACATGTTCCGTACGACACTGACTAAAAATCTAGAATCTTTTCCTGGGTATAGCGTTGTCACGTGTCTAACATCCCCTCGTTGCAATGCCAACCAATAAATGCAGCTCAATGTACAATAATTAATATTTCAAAACCAATCACATTTATTCTGACACATAGCTCTGCCACGTGAAATAATTCCCCGAGCTAACAAATTCTGGCTGGTAACCTTGGGCGTCTGTGTAAGTGACAGATTTAATAAATCAGAGCAGTTAAAATAATTGCCAGTCCAATAAGAAGAAATGATAACATTTGCTCCCTTATATAATCTGTTGCACCTTTGCATTTGTATAAAACTCTTTTAGTATTTTCTGTTAAAAATGTTTGCCATAGTACAGTGATAGTTTAGTAAAAAAAAATAGTTGTTGTTTCCACTGGAATCTACATTCTAGAGAAATCTATAACTAAAGGTATTTTACCAGTGTCCTTGCAATGTTTGTTTTGTTTTCTTTTCATTATCATCCATTTGGATTCTCACCTAGAATATTTTGGTTCTGAAATTTGGTTAGAAAATTGATATTAGGTCATTAAGAAATCTTTTTTTTTTTTTTTTTTTTTTTAATTCTTAGCCATCCTTACTTTTTCTTGGTGCAGACAGGTAGAGTGAACACTCTGGCTCCAAACAGGCTTCTACAAGAAAAACCCACAAAAAACAAGATCGCTATTTTAATTTTGGAGATTTTTGCTTTTATCTTAAGTGGCTTTTTTTTTTTGTTTGTTTGGTATGGGTGTCTCTCAGTGTTATTTTAATAAAGTAATGCCTCTTTTAATACTGTAATGATAACAAACTTTTTTATTTTTGTTATAGAAGTAGATGCTTACTATCAACAACTGCAAATGAAAACAATAGCACTCCAAAAGACCAACCACCTACTCAGCAGCAGGCAGATACAGATGAACAGGTTAAAACAGATCCACAAATTCTCAAATTGGAAACACAAATTAAGAATTTACAGGAAGAAGTCAAGGAAGCAAAGGTTTGTGGGTGGTATTCATTTGTTCTTGCATCATTTTTATTAATCAGTTAGATTTCTTGAGTTAGTTTAATGTAATTTTTAAAATTATTATTTTAAACATACATAAATGTTCATTTTTATTTATTCATTTTCCTCAGAATTATAAATATTAACTTGTTAAAAAAAAATTTTTTTTGTCATAATATTAATGTTCTCATATTAATTTATAACATTTAATTGAGTAAATTTTTTATTTATTTTTTTTTTCATTTTAAGGATAAATATTTGCGGTCACTGGCAGAAACAGAAAACTTAAGGAAGAGATTGACCAGACAAGTGGACGAAGCAAAGCTTTTTGCTATTCAGAGTTTTTGTAAGGATCTGTTGGAAGTATCTGATGTTCTCAGCACAGCCATCAACTCAGTTCCTAAGGACCAACTGACTCCCTCTAACCCCCACCTCATGAACTTGTACCAAGGACTCAACATGACCGAAACGCAGCTCATGAAAGTGTTCAACAAGCACGGTCTGGAATCCATAGCTCCCAAGGAAGGGGAAAAGTTTGACCCCAATTTCCATGAGGCCCTGTTTCAAGTGCCCATCCAGTCCAAAGAAACTCAGGTACCAGACACTGTGGCAGTGGTACAGAAGTTAGGATACATGCTACGCAGCCGCACTCTTAGGCCAGCATTAGTTGGGGTTTTTAAATGAACTCTTGTAGGCAGTCCTGATCATTTTTCTTTCATTGCAGTCAGATTTTTTTTTTAATAAGAAGAAGATCGCAACTTTAAACATTTTGTTGTAGTTATTTTTTTTTTTTTTTTGTTTCAGTAAAGTTGCAATGTTAAATAAGTTTTGTACCTACACACCTATTTAAAAAAAAAATGAATTTTTTTTTTACATTACAATATCATATTATTTGCAGAGTTTAATCCAGTCGAATCAGTCATTCTTTCCATTGATTTTTTTCAATATTTTAAAACTAGTACCAAGCTAGTTTATGTGATATAAGTAGGTGATACATATAGACATTGTATAAATATCATTAAAGAAATGTTTTGAAATCAATCAAAATGACTTTTATACATTGTATGAAATGGACAAAATACTTCCAATGGCAGCCTGTGCATGGAGATGGGGAAGTTGATTATCACAGGATACAAATGTCTCTCTTGTAAATCAGATTCAAGACTTGTTAGTTGATCACAGCAAACAAGAAAACTGAAACCCATCTTCAATTATGTGTTACGGCAGATAAAAAAAAAGAGTTATGAGCTAGTTTTTTTGTATCATGTTCATTGACAGTCTCATTACATGAACCAGAAATGATAGCAGCAAAGGTTATTCAATATTCAAGCATACAAAAAACTAAATTTTACATCCATATCTTACATTACACATTCTTAGTCAGCTTAGGAGATTCTATTTTGAATTTTGTAATGTTATTGATATGGGTTATCATTCTCTAAAGGATTTTTAGAATTCAGGATGTGATTCTGCAAATATCTTGCATGTTAAATGTTAGCTTCACAGTTTCTAATTAAAAAAAAACTACCAAAGTATAAATTTAAACAAAAAAACATCTTTAAATTCTAAATCTCTTGGAAACTAAACAAAATTTACAGATTGGCCCTTAGCCCCAAGAACGTCAAATTCAGACCAGTATATGCAATTTGGTTACTGTAATTTGCTTATGTTTTTTTTTTTTTTTTTATTGTAAAAGGGGTTTTAAATTCATAGACCCACTTTTCTAGGCTCATGGGATTTGGTGACTAGTTTACTTTAGTTTTTCTTTATTGATGTGTAAAGCTGGTTAAAAAAATCTGGTCCTAAAATTGTGTAAATTTTGAGACTTTGATTGTATGAGCCTTGATGTTAGCTGCCCTGCATAGTGTTGTCATTCTCATTAAAGGACCAGACTATAGGATAAGAAACTATTCTTTAATGTTATAAAACAATTATACAAATGAATTCTATTTTAAAAACACTATTACTTTTATTTTTTCCAATGGTATTCAATTTAATTCAAACAGAATAGTAAATGTTACAACATGATTGGAAATATATTTACAAAATAGGGATTTCAGTATTTGATAAATATACAGATTATGTACTTTGTATGCTCAATCACAGTCTTGAGGGAAAAAAAATCATTCTAAACAATTCATTCCAACTATTTCTTATTCCCCAACTCTATTGATAGGTTTATTAGTAAAACTTGGTGTTACCTAACCTTTGAAAGAATTTTTAATTGTATGAATTTTAAAATACATTTAGGACTATCCCTTAGCCTGTTGAACCATTAGGCACCACACATAATCTGTCAACAATCTTTCTCCATTCTTCTATTCGAAGTGCCCAAAAAGATAAATCCCCTTATTGAACCTATGACCCGGGATTTGATCCCAAGGTCATGACAGAAAGCCTCAACAACAAGGTGATTCACACCTGTCTTTCATGAGATATGTAATTACTTAACTGTAATTGGTTCCTCCTCCTAAGCGAAGGCCAGAAGCCAAGTCCATGGGGAGATGCTTTTTATTCCTATAGTATATCAAAGCTAATCGTGGCAGGATCGTCACTGAGGAACTGCAATTGATGGGTCTGGGTTAGCAAGCCTTTCTTTCATCTTCACCATGTGCATGTACAGTGGTAGCCCACTGGAGGCTAGTTCCCTCTCGTTCTTAGCCTTTCTGTTTCCCCAGGCAGACATTTCCACTGAGGTGACTGAAGCTTTTCCTCTGTCCTCCAGAAATATTATCTTTAAATTCCCATTTACAATTTCCTATTTTCTCTATCTTCCCCAGCATGCCCTTTGCGTTCAAAAAAAATAAATAAAATTGATTCGACAACTAAATTAACAAGTAAATACATCAACTGTAATTAATTTTGAAAGCAGTGCTTCATTGTATTTATCTAGGGTACATAGGCTAGTTCTTTCAATATTATTTCATTTGAATGGCACATTGGAAAAACAAACATGTCTCTAGAAATGTATTGTTGTCGTTTGTTGAAACAAAAACATACAATTGAACCAATAAAAATATAGTTATATATCTATTGATATAAACATAGGTATATAAAACATCATTTCCTTTAACCAATACAAAGGAACATCATAGGCACATAGACAAATATTTCATGGATACGTTTTCAAGTGGACATATGAAACTGGATGTTTGGGATGTAGCACAAGTTGATTGTTATAAGGATACGTTTGAAAATATTTAAATTTAGTTCAGGGATAGATGAGTATGAAAATACAAAGCAAGAAGTTACAGGTTAAGATATGAAGCAGGATATATATATATAGTGTTCAGATAAAGGTACGTAGCAATATAGTGATCAGTTAAAGCTACTCATCCATTATATAGCAATACCGGTATTCATTTATTACAAAAAATATTTTCCAACAGTTAAATTTCAGGACCAGTGTAATGTTCGCGATTTCCATAGAAAACTTTCATTTCTCAAATGATCTTAGCTGAAATGATGATTCTGAGACATAATTCATGATTCACAGTTGTTAGTCCGATGTAGTTATACCATCTAGTTTTTCACACGAAACAGTAGCCCGCTGAAGTCATGAAGTGGATTCCCAGTTTATGGTTGTGACTGGGTTTTAAAAAAGTCAAGTTTTGATAGCCTCTTGGTGTTCCTGAGCTTTGAGTCTGAGAGCTACAATGCTGCTAACCCGAGCATCTCCTGAGTACATGTTGTCTGGGATATGAAATTGATTGTTGCTGCTGGACAATTTCAGCGAGTTACTCTCACTTCTGCTGACCTGGTTTTGTCCTGAATAGAAAAATATAAAGTAAAATTAATACCCCAGTAAAGTTGTAAAGAAACTTCGCACCTCATTATAGATTGTCATAAATGAAGCCAAATGCATAACTTTCTTGGTGTATCCGGTGTACAGATTATGGGAATATTGATAAACAAAGTATTTTAATATAATATATAGTCATATATGAGTGTATGTGTAGTACACTTAATTCATTTTTTTTCCTATTGTGACCCTTTATTCTTTTGGACTTTTTTTTTTTTTGTACACTAAAATAGGCGCTTTCTTTAGTTAGACACCCCGCCCTTGATAGTTAGTGGGTTCGGCCACAGAAACAGATTACCTTTACAGCATGGGTCCCATAGATCAAAAGGCCTGAAACTTTTATGCCAAACAACCAGGTATCTATCCAGGTAAGATGAGACTGCGATAGGAATTACCTGCATGGTATATAACCACGCTAAGAGAAAGCACAAGACAGGCGCTAAATGACATTAATCCTACTCAATATAAGTCGAGGTACTTACCACACCATGGTGCACTTTTAACACCACGTTGCACTAACCACACAACGGCGCACCCTTAACACCACGTTGCACTTACCACAACACCTTGCACCAAATGAGTCTTCCACAGCCGGAAACCGGTTCCCATTTTTGACAGATAGGAATGACGTCAGCGAGGAAGATGTCATGGCGGAGCACAGAGGGGGCGCCCAATCAACATTCAAATTACCATGGAAGTAAAAACCTGGCATGGGGACACCGCTAATGGGTGCCATCTTGTTGCTGCCCGACGAAGGCGTAGTTTGTTGTGGAGGTTTGTTTTGAGAAGCTGGAAGGGCTGCAATAGCAATACTTGTTAAAGAAAGGCGGTCACCATGGTAGATTCTAGCATACACAGTTATGTTTACTTGTTTATTCATCGTAAATCATATAAATAAATTATGAAGATGGCTACATTATCTATAATATAAAGTTGAATGTAAGGAGTTTGTAGGCCTATGTATTCATGTATGTCCCGCGTGGAAATCAAAACAATTTGACCAATCTTGATAAAACTTGACATTAATGTTCCTTAAATCATGGCGGAGACCGTAATGTATGCTTAATGTCCCTCCCACAGTTGCAAGGCCCCAAAATAAAAAAATAAATAAATAAAAATCTAGATTTATCTCTAATAAAGAACGAAGCTTTTTAACAAATCTGGTAAACCCGCTTTCACATTATTTTTTAGCGGCCCCCGAAAGAGGAAAAGACGCCTTTAGTTTTTTTGTTTTTTTTTAATTGGATCTAAATAAGTCGCGGCTCTGACCTGGTAAAACCTTTTCACAATATACTTTTCATTTTCGTCAGAAAATAGATATAAAAAAACATATTCAGAAAACGTTCGCCATGTTTGACACATATAAAAATCGAATCTAGTAGATTAGTAATACCAAAACTAAGACCCCACAGGCCGTGTGTCATATCCTGCTAGTTTATTATAAAAAATTATTAATTTGTTAAAGGAATTTTTATAACTTTACAGAAAATGAGATTATCATTTTTTCTTTTCTTAAACAGTAATTTTATTTGAAAAAACAAAAAACAACAGCATGTAGGCTTACATCACTGGAAGCATTTAAAACTAGAATTCTTTATCCATGACTTCCAAATATTCAAATTGTTTGCCAGCTACTTTATATACTGCCTATTTAAATAGAGGAATGCCAGTAGGTTACAAAATGCATCCTATACAAAACACAATAGGCTTAATCTGAACAATTAAGTTAAAACAACAATCAAGTGTTTACTCATAGTGCTAGCTAACTGAAACAGGGTAGTAGGTCTGCTATACTCTTCAGAAGCACTCTTCACGACAGTCCACTAGCGTATCTTAACAAAACGTAGAATCCTAACAATCTTCACTTTTCAGCCGAATCGAAAAGTAAGACAGTGAACTCACCATGGCAGACATCTCCGAGTATCGCGCCCTTATGTTCCTCCTTTTGCTGCTTTCTCCACTTGGCTCGTCTGTTCTGGAACCAGACCTGAAACCAGAAAGAAAAGCCTGCATTCTACTATTGTATTTATTGAGGACTACCAAACTAAAGGTTACTTGCAGTAATCTGCTCTTTGTGTATAGGCCTACTTTGATTTTTAAGATCCCGTTTACACTCTTTAAGCAATAAAATACAGTTAGGAAGAAAAAGAAGAGAAGTGATATAAAGAAATGTTGAGGGGATATAATGTCGCCTAAAAGAAAAAGAAACAACAAGCAGTTAAAACACGAAAATAATAAGATTGAAA